AGAGTCTCCCAAGATCCAGTCAGTTGTAAAACCAATGATGTGTACGATCACGCCTTCACCTTGCCACAATGATCTGAAGCACTTGAAATAATAAACCGAAACTGTAAGCACAAAGCTTAGTGAGTTCCCCCCCCCCCCCCCAAAGTACCACCACATAAACAAATAACATATACAAACAAATAGCATACATACAGAGCCTTCAGCCTGACTGGAACGCCTCACCGACCTACAGTCTATCTGGTACGCTCATAGAGCCTTCAGCATGACTGGAATGCCCCATTGGCCTACAGTCTATCTGGTATGCTCACAGAACCTTCATCATGACTGGTATGCCTCACCGGGCCTTCAGCCTATCTGGAACGTTCTTCGGGCCTTTGGCCTAACTGGTATGCCCCTCTGGCCCACAATCTATCCAGGACGCCCTAGGTCTCTTGGCCTTCAGTCTACACATGTCCACCTCAACACAACCACACATATCCATGTCGACATATACATAACCAATACATATATAATCCCAGTAAACTATAACAACATATCGATATAAACATTACCGGGTTTGTTGAATGACAGCACAAAGCAGTAGAGTCTCAACCCACCCATACTATGACTACATATACCACAAATAAACATATATCCAGGAAGCGAATAACAGACATATCTACCGATCACTAAGCATGACATCATCCTATATACCATGATACATATCTAACAGATCACTACATCATACCAACATGCGATAAACCAGGATAACAATCCAATGGGCCGACCTTGGTGTCTTCGACCCGAAAGTATAGTGAGGAAAACTCACTTCTAACCAAGATACCGAGCACTCTAACTGCTGCTACTGTAAAACCTCACACTGACATCATCAGATAATATTTCATCAATAATTGATTCCTGTCCAACCACGAATTCTAGTCCAATGACCAAGCCTTCAGGGTAAAAGTCCATTTTACCCCTTTCCTTACTTGGCCAAACTCCAAAGACCAATCCAATAGCATCATAATCCCAAATCCCTTACATGACACCACAGGGCCCAATAAGGCCCAAATATCCAAATTGGGCCTAAAACCCATCATGGGCCTAATCGAGAGGGCCCAATATCCTAAAAGGCCTATAATATTCAATGGTCAACCCTGGTCAACTTCTGGTCAATGGTCCATGGTCAGAAAGTCAAAGAATTAGGAAAAACTCATCATAATGAGCACACCCTGCATACTCAGTTGGTACGCCCCACGTACGCCCAATTGACTCGGTATGCGCTGCGTACTAGGAGGTATGCCCCACGTACTAGGAGGTACGCCCCACGTACTCACCTTGCCCACATTCCACTTAGAAAAGGTCTTAACCCCTTAAGCCAAAACGCCAATTGCTCAGATCTAGATCCAAATCATGCCCTAATCCATAAAGTTGGTAACTTTGAGCTTTTGCATGGCTCAAAGGATCCCAAATCCAAGTTCTTACTTTATAACTTCATCAAAGAGGCTAAAACACACGCGTGAGTTGATATCAACTATCAAGATCGCATTTTTATGCATTTGGGACACGTAAAATATTCAGATCTAGTGTCCAAACTATTGGGGCAAGCTTAACCTCATAAAGACAAACCAAGGGGACCAAAATGTGCCATAAACCACCCCAAACAAGATCTAACCAAAGAGATGCCAAGATGAGAGATTTTTACCTTCAATGGATTGCAAAAGATGAGAAATTTTTGGATCTACAAGCCCCACTCCATATGATGATCCCTCAACAACCTTCAATGTCTTCGAAATGCACAAAACACTCCAAGATTCCTCACAAAAGCTTAAGAACTCCAAGATGGTGGCTAAGGGTCAAATATTAGGGTTTAGGAGGCTTGGAGGCTAATAAGGACAAGGCTCAAGAATAAATAAGGCTTAAATAGGGCCAAGACCCTAAAAACTAGGGTTGCCATCTGAAGGGAGTATGTCCGACGTACTCGAGAGACTTCTGCGATCCACCTAGCCACTACGCCCCACGTACTCAACCAAGCTCCAAAACACATAAACTTCTATTGGCCATAACTCCTTCTTCCTAAGTCCGTTTCCAACGAACTTTATATCCTCACAAAGGTGACGAGAAGTCCTACATTTCTATCAACCCACCCTTGCCTTAAAACTTCCCAAACAAAACTCCAAAATTCATAAAGTCCTGGAGTGCCAAATTATGATTATACCATTGGGCTCCGAAGCACAAACGAACACTTGGATTACTTAATCTATAACACCCACATCCAAAAAGGGCTAATTCCCTTCTTCCCCAAGGCCTTAAGCCTTATGACAATCGGTCTTCGGGTCACATCCTCGGATTAGAAATCGATTCGGAACAGGGCGTTACAATGTGGGTTGGAGGTTTACTAGTTAATCTCACCTTTATTTTCATCACCTTTAACTATCAAACCGAAACCACCGTACACTTTTTTTTTCCGAAAAACCATCAACCACCGCTAACTTGTAACACCAATCATCACCGCCTTAAACTACCTTTGAACCAAAGAAAAATAAAGAAGAAGAGAATAAAAGTAGATGGTTTTTGCTTCTATTTTTTTGATGGCAGGTGAGTTTCACCTTCTAACCGGAATACTGGTTACCACATGGAAAAAATAAGAACAATGAGAACTTATATGACATTTTTTGAACGATTTCTTTAATTAGTTTATTGGTATTTTTTGAAACGGATAAACTTCAATGAAATTTTTTATACAAATTTGAATATTTTTTGAACAAATAGGAATTTTTTATACAAATTCGGAACTTAGTGGATGTTTGGAAGTACTTTTTAAAATGATTTATTAACTTATTAATTTTTCAAAAAACCAATAAATTAAAAAAATATTCAGTAAAAAAATAATTTTTCCAAAAAACCAGGAAATTGATGTCTTTAAAAAATGGGATAATGTCATAAAAAGTCTTAATTTTGGCAGAAAATATCGGTTTTACCCTTCGACAAATTTTTGGTTCGTTTATACCGCAAATTTGTCATTTTTTTGTCGATTTTGCCATTTTTACCTATAATAGCAGATTTACAGGTTATCATGAATTATTTTTTGCGAAAAAACCCTTAAGTTTACAAATATTTTGCAAAAAACCCTTAAGATTATAAACATATAAAATATAAATATATATATTCAAATTTTGATAAAACTAGATAGTTTTTTAAAAAATAATTGTCAAAAGTTTATATCAAACTAATATAAGTTTTATTGAACTTATATTAAATTTTATATTGGTTCGATATAAACTTTTTATATTTAAATTTTATAAAAGTTACATAGTTTTATCAAAATTTGAATATATTTCTTAAATAATACTTAAACTTTTCAAAGCAAAATTAAAAAACGTCTGTTAGTTAATAATTAATTATGCTAAAATAGTTAAACATATGAATAATATGAAATTAATTACATTCAATTAAATTTTTTAGAAGGAAAATAAAAATATTTTATATGTTTAAAAGGTTTATATTTCAGAAATAATAACATATCGTATTTTTTATATGTTTAAATAAATAATAATATTATCATATTTTTTATGAAATATCATAAACATTTTAAACATCAAAAATAAACGTAAGCATTTTAAACATATGAAATATAAATATATTTGTCTAATTTATTCTATAAATATATTTATTTTTATAAAAAATATTATAGTTAATTATTTTTGAAATACAAACCTTTTAAACATATAAAATATTTTTATTTTCCTTTTAAAAAAATAATTAAATGTAATTAATGTCATATTATTCATATGTTTAACTACCTTAGCATAGTTAATTATTAACTAACAGACGTTTATTAGTTTTGTTTTGAAAAATTTAAGTATTAATTAAGAAATATATTCAAATTTTGATAAAACCAGGTAAATTTTTTAAAATTTAAATAGAAAAAGTTTATATTGAAACAATATAAAATTACCCTATGTAAAGCTAAAAATATGTTTCAATTTTGGTTTCATAATGTAAGTTAAATAAAACTTATATTGGTTTGATATAAACTTTTGACATTTAATATTTAAAAAATTATTTAGTTTTATTAAATTTTGAATATATATTTATATTTTATATGTTTATAATCTTAAGAGTTTTTTTTGCAAAATATTTATAAACTTAAGGTGTTTTTTTGCAAAAAATAATTCATGGTAAAACCTACTAATAGTAAAACCGATAAAAAAAATTAAATAAATAAATGAAAAAAAATGACAAATTTGCTGTATATACGAACCAAAAAATCCGCCGGTAATACTCTCAAATCCAGATCTACAATGTAGGGCTCACCCCGTTCCCGAGTTGTAGCAAAGAAAAGAAGAGAAGAGAAAAGAAAGTAAAGAGAGAAAAGAAGATAAGAGAAAAGAAAAGAAATTTATCTTTTGTGTTCCCGAATTGGAGAGAAATGGAAGGAAAGTTAAGGGTGCGTTTGGTTGTGGAAAACTGTTTTCATTTTCTAAGAAAATGTTTTCAGAAAATAGAGTTGAGTTTTCGTTTTCAATTTTCAATGAAAATTTTAGAAAACACGTTTGATTGAAACCGGGGAAGTTTTCATTTTCCATCTTAAAAATTTGGAAAACTTTGGAAAACTATAAAAATCACTTTTCAAATTTACATACAATTTGGAAAATTTCAAAATTTCCATTTTTTTTGGAAAATTTTCCCTAAAAAACTAAAAAATTTTCCACAAGCAACAGCATACTAAACATAATCTGATCTGAAGAAAGTTAGGAGGAAAGTCATCCTCCATTTCCTTCATCTAATAAAATCCGGAACACCAATTTTCCTTGTCAACTCCATTTCCTTCTTTTCTCTGTTAAATTGAACTCCCCCGTTTCCTTTATTTTCTCTCTTAAATTGAACTCGGGAATGGGGTGTTAATGACATCTCGCAGCTGAAACGGATGTATCTTCCTTGAAATAGCAGAACAATGTTTGGGAAGTTCTTAAGAAGAGTCGATCGCCGCTCGCACTTCCATTTCGATGGAGTTTTAAATGGGGCTAACTCGGGCTGAGGTGGGTTGACAACGCTAGTTAAACGGAATAAATAATTTTTCCGTTTGGAGGAATTCCAGTTAAAAATGGCGCTTAAGCTTCCAGCTGATGAAGCTGCTTTTGTTGCGTTCCAGTCGATTGGATGTGGTTATGATATCTCATTAGATCTGAGGCTTAAATATGTAAAGGGTGCTTATATTGGTACTAATCCATATCGAATGTGTCGATTGATCGAAATTGACGAGGATGAAGGTAGAGACATCATGCTTCCTGGTGGGATTCTAGTCCTTAATGTTCCCAAATCCATCAAATGTGATAAAGGCGAGCGTACTCGATTTCAATCCGGTGTTCTTCCTTTTCAGCAGGTATGAGCGATTCTTGCAAATACATTGTTTTTTGTTTTTGGATAATTGTATTTTTTTGATTAACGTATAGAAGTTTCTGCAGATGTCGGAGCAATTCAACCACGAACTGTCATTAGCTGGGATAATTCCTTCAGGCCTCTTTGATAGCATGTTTGGATTTCGTGGAAATTGGCAGAAAGATGCATTACGTACTAAAACCCTTGCTCTTGATGGTGTTTTCATCTCGTTGTACTCCATTGCATTAGAAAAGACTCGGGTGCTACTCTGTGATCATGTCAAGAACGATGTTCCATCATCATGGGAGCCCGCTTTGTTAGCAAGGTCAGTTTTAGACATTCTCTTTTCCTACCCTTTATATCTTCCATTGCTAGAGACTATTTTGAGTTTTCTTCCTTCTTTCATTTCTTCATATTACAAATCTATTTTCATTGTTATAATTGGGTCCTAATTAGGGGATGTTTCCTTATTCAAAACAACTTATATATATATATATATATATATATATATATATATATATATATATATATATATATATATATATATATATATATATATATATATATATATATTTGTTTTAGGAAAGTGTTTGGATTAGCTTCTAGTATGCAAAACGTAATAAGCTAATACGTTGTCTTTTAGTAAGCACTTTCAAATAAGATAGAAGGACACAACTTATCAAAATCTGCTTATTTAAGTCGATAAGAATTTTTTCTATTATTTCATCCAAACACTCAAAAGTGCTTATTAGCGGTACCAAATTGCAATAAGCTAATAAGCACCTTAAATAACAAATGATAAACACCCCCTAAGAAAATGATTGGAAATACAATGCTATAACTAGGTATATTTCTCAAAGAGCAATGTCTTAATAAGGAAAAAATAATAAAAAGTATAGTGTTTGTAATACAATCAATCCTTAGTAGTTGCAAGTCGTTTTCTGAATTGTAGGTTTTTACTTCATCTTGTGCAAGATGTTAAACAAAGATGCACACATCACATGATTGTATTGTGAAAGTCTCGAGACAAGTAATATAAAATTGCAGCATTCCCCTTCGAGAAAATATTTATCCATCTTCCTTCTGTATATTCTTCAAGGTTTATTGAAACTTTTGGCACTCATATAATTGTGGGTGTAAAAATGGGTGGAAAAGATGTGATATATATGAAACAGCAGCACGCATCATCCCTTGAACCTGCTGATGTACAGAAAAGGTTAAATGAAATGGCAGACAAGAGATTTTTGGACTCCTATCAACAGTTAGTCATTGATGTTGAACATATGTCCCAAAATGACAAGGTATTTTTGTTATGGAAACGTAGTTGCATCTTATTTCCTGATATTAGCAATATATAAAATGTAATTTATAATAAGAGAACTGTACTTACATTTCTTTACATGTCATAGCAACATTCTTAGGGGATTCACAGGGTTAACCTTTTCAAAGGGTTTTTTCTTTTTGCCACACCAACATTTCACTCACTTTATCTAACATAAATCTATCATCGCAAATCTTCTCCAATGTTATAGCTTTTTCTAACAATTAAACATGTATCCTTACCTTATCTATTTTAAGTGTTCTTTAAACCCCCTTTCTCTAATATATTGGTCTTTAAGCACAGTTGTATTTGATATTGGTGTCATTTTGATCAAGTATGTTTTTATAAAAACAAAAGACAATTTGAATACCATAACATGGCTATGTTTTGTAAGATTTGGTATTGGTGTCACAAATGCTTTAAATGATATTTTGTCTATACAAATATTCATTTTATTTTGCATATATGATAAAAAAAAAATAGACTAATTAGTAACACAAAAAAAATCAAAGATTTAAATTGAAATATGATTGATTAATAAAGCACATTGCCTATAATGGTAGCAAAATGCAAGTACGTTGCTCTTATGGGTATTAAATAAAGTATATTGCTATTATTGGTAAGGAGATGTAAGTACATTTTTTTTTCTTCTCCATTTTTAGTTTATTTAATAGAATGTCTTAGGCTTGCAGAAAAGTTTGTTCTCCGGTATAAGTAAATTTTTAGTAATTGGCAGGATGTTATAAGCATTTGCAAAAGGAGAGGTGGCACTGATGATAGGATCTTAAACCATAGCGAGTGGTTGCATAGTATACGATCAAAACCAGATGTGATCACAATGTCCTTCATTCCAATAACCTCTTTGCTTAATGATGTTCTGGGAAGTGGTTACTTGAGTCATGCCATAAATCTCTATTTATGCTGTGAGCAACATCACATCTCTCCCCCAAATTAGCCTTTCTTAAATATAGCTAATTTGGAGGTCGGTTTTCTTTTTTTTTTAAAAAAAAAAAAAACCAAATTTACCGTTAAAGTTATAAAGTTTAGGGTTGTTTGGTTTGCAGATAAACCACCAATTGAAGAGCTTCGTCAGTTTTTGGAATTCCAGTTACCTAAACAATGGGCTCCAGTATTCAGCCATCTGTCCCTTGCCTTTGGTCCACAACCACAACGTGACTACCAAAATACATTCAGCTTTTCTGGGCCGGAGCTCCACGTCAATACAAATCCGGTAGTTAGTTAATTAATTAATTCTATAATCGTTGAAACCATAAACATCATGGCTAATTATACATAGAATAATAATATACTTGTTGAATTTGGTAAATAGGTTGATGTAGGAAAGAGACCCGTAACTGGCCTCCGGCTTTATCTGGAAGGTAAAAGAAGCAACTGTTTAGCAATCCACCTGCAACACCTCTCCTCCCTCCCAGAAATCTTCCAACTAGAAGACTCCGTAACCGGAATCGGAATCTACAATTCCGATTCCGATGACCGCCGATACTACGAAAAAGTCCAATGGAAACACTTCTCCTACGTCTGCACCGCCCCGGTTGAATCCGAAGACGAACAATCAATTGTAACCGGGGCCCACTTACACAGGTTTAAAAAAGTCCTATTCTTACGTCTCCACTTCTCAAAACTTGTCGGTTGCACTGCAACCAAGATTCCAGAATGGGACGGGTCACCAGGATTGGAATCTCAAACCACGGAGGAGGTGAATATAAACTCGGCTATATACCCCAGTCGGCCACCGTGTGAAGCGCCGGAACTGTCGGAGTATGTGGACACGACGGAGATGACAAGGGGCCCGCAAGAAAGCCCCGGATATTGGGTTGTGTCGGGGGCTCGACTTGTCGTGGATAAGGGAAAGATTTCACTCCGGGTCAAGTACTCTTTGCTAACTGTCATCTGTCCTGATCATGATGATGATGATGATGATGATGATGAAGTCTCGTATTTCTGAATATGGCAGATTAGGCGATTTTTGGATATGCACGTGTAATAAAATGTTTTGTTTTTCGTAAATATATGAATTTGGTTTTTCCTCATTTCATGTGTGAAAAAGCATAATAAACCAACTGATGTGGATTAAGTTTAATCTCTACATGTAAAGGTGAATTGTATCATAACTTAAGCATACTTAATGTGAATGTTAGTAACATGTATATTAAATAGTTTGCTTGCTAATTGTATGTTGTATATCTAATTTATATACTATATCCATGATAGACCAAATTACTCGGCTACTACGCATTATTGACATACATGCACCTAGTTTTTTTTTTTAATCATCATTGGGGCATTCAACCTCATGAAGATTTAGCTTTATAGTTTGAGTCGAGTCATCTTACACCATGTTTGGGCATCATTAATTTCATACATGGTTTATATTGATTGCATAAATAGTTTCTCTTAAAATGATGATTTTATACACTATTGTGTTAAAATAGGGAATTTGGTAATCAAAGAATTCGGATTTTGTTAAGGATCGTGTTTGCTTACTTTACATATTGTTCTCTACCTTTAAGCGCACAATAGTATGTATGTTTCACGACTGTTTGACCCTGTCTTTAAAAGTGTCTTATAAAGTCAGTTAAATGATCTTTTAAAAGTAAAATCATCATGCATTTTGAAAAACATGAAAATAATTGTGGTAAAAACACATACTTTTCCATTAAAATATCACATACATAACTAAAACTTGAATGCTTAAAACTCCTGAATTTTTTTCGCATAACCAAGATAGGACAAGTGTAAAAACAAACTCGCCAACAGTGGTTTGATCATGAAAAGGTTAGGATAGTAAAACCTGAGTTTTACTCTAAGCATATTATAAGATTACAGTAAAATAAACAACAAAAAACACAACCAATTCATTAAAACCCTACCATCTACACAAACCCAAGAGTCAATACCTAAGCCGGATGCTTATCTCTTGGAATGTTTCAACTGAGAGACAAATTTCGTAGATTGATGAGAGATGAAGTTGGATCCAATGACCCATTTGTGCCCATTGATCCTTCTCCTGATTTTAAATTCTTCTGTAAACATAAAGTCAACTTTAGTAACATGACATAACAGATTATACTGTATTTGACATGACATGATAGATTTTACTTTATCTAGCATGCATCACACTAGAACTTAGATGGAGATTTGCATTCTTTTTTTTGTCTGATCCAAAAATGGAGAACAACTTGTTTTTCATCTCTCGTCCATGCAAAAGACATGAATTCCCTTTTTACCCTAATCAACAGAAATAGACCTAAGAATGTGCACCTCTGGTTGGAAGGCAACTTTGTGAATCCTTCTGGCTTTAAGCGACTTCTCACGATTCTCATAGAAGCTCAAGTCATCTAGCAAAGATGTTTTTGATGGATAGCTTTTGAAAATATCAAGCATTTCTAAACCTTGTTGCAATCCAACCTGAGACATGACTTAATATGGTAAGCAATATTTGAGTGTGTTTCTTTTCTACTTAATGGACTTAATAGGGACATGGCGAAAAGATACCTCCTGAGTGTCCCTAGTGTAAGTAACAGGCCGATTATCATTGTTTTCAAGAATAATGTGTCTTAATTGTGTGTTGGGGATGTCTTTTATAATATACCATTTTAATGGGAAAAAGCCACTCCATTTATCAAGTTGCCAAAAATCCATATCTTTTTCAAAAACAACTCGCCCAGTCATTTCAGCAACACCCACAAACTGTCTGCTCCCATTTACCTGCATAATCACAAGACATATAACTGTATTGGATGAGACTGGACTGGACAAACTTTGTAGGACTGTTTTTAATGATGAGAATGAAAAGATCATTCACATCATTCGCACATATAATATATCCATGTGAGTCCATGTCTCACCTTCTTTCCGTTTGTTGGATAAGACAAAAAATAAATAAAATGAACTTTTATGATGTTGACATCAATCACATCAGTCTCGATCCTTGTCCCATCTTACTTCATCTTTTTTGAATAGGACAAAAAAGTTGACATCACATCGGTATCAATCTCTCTCCCACCTTTTTGTACGAGACAAAAAATTGCACTTTTTGTCCCACTCACATCACATCAGTCTCATTCCCACTTGGATGGGACAAAAAAAGTTGCAATTTTTGTCTTATTGACATAGTAACAAACTATCAAGTCATGTCTTGTCCTGCATAACTCAGGTAACATATAAATTCACTTACTGAAAAAAATAAGAAAATCGGACACATTGACCCTGTTTCTCTTATTTTTCCTTCGGCCTCATGGAAAGCAATGTCCAACTTCTTGTTGCCATTTGGTGTACTTGACCAAACATCATATTTAACACACTTGTGAACATCATCTTCACTGTATGACTTGATTATGTAGAACTTAGCTTGTTCATATTTAGTCTGAAACCCATCAAGATTATACTGATCATTTTTACAGGAATTCCCAGATTCTTGATGCTCAAGTATGCTGCTTTGAGCCCTAGGCCCACAAGTTAATTCTTCAGAATCTCCATTTGAGTATGATTTATCTCTCACTTTGGAAGCATGGATCATGGAATAGTTTGCAAAAAGGCCTTGGTTTTGATAGGGAAAAGATGAGCAATTTGAACATTGTTGATACCCTTTCGCAACACCTCCAGACTGCCATTATTATAATAATCATAAAAACGAAAACAACAGTTTCATGGCTAAATAGAGAAATATGGTGAAAATACGTTGTGCTTTTGTATATATTGATCTTTTCAAAGCTGGGTAACTAGAGAAATTGGTTTTTTAATGGTAAAAAAGTATAATGGTTTAATTGCTAAAGAAAATAGTTAAATAGCTAAACATACACAAGTGTTTTTTCTTTATTTTGCCCTTAATGTTATGTTATCTTTTTTGGTAACATTCCAAGTCACATTTACGTGTTTTGCCCATTAGCAATCATTAAAAGAAATTTGTCACATTGATTTTGGTTCTCTTTGTAATGTCAAGGGTCATTTTAGGTAATATAAGTACTCTTATTAAACTATGTGTCAAGTCAATCATTGTTATTATGGGACAAAAGAAGTGGATTTTGAAAAAAGGATTACACACCTTGTTCACTGAGCAGAGTTGTGGAGTCTGAAGAAACGACTGAGAGATATTAGATGTTGACTGTATATCCAGAGGGTAATTTGGGAATCTTTGGGAACTAAAACCATTTGACTTCATCAAACCATTAGAAACCATGGCAGATTTCGAGCCCCAAGACGTGGAATTTTGGTATCTTGCATCACTGTATGCAGAATTCAACAAGTAACGTGGCATGCCTTCTGATGATGGAAAATAACGATTTTGCCCATCAACACCCAATAAAGTCTGACCTGCATATAGGTTGTAGCCAGGCATGAAGTAGAGAAGTGAACCATTATTATCCATGAATGAAGCCCCACTAGAATTATGATGACAAGAACCATCCGAATGATTATAGGTTTTGTTATTTCCTGTAAAAGAGAAATATAAGCTAATCCAATCTCAAATAAATCATCAAAATCCACAATAAAGATGACATGACAAGACAATACATGTTGTCCCGAGACTGATGTCAATGAAACAAAAACTGCAATTTTTGCTCCACCTAAAAAGGTAGGACAGGGACTCGCCCTCGACCTTTTGTCTATGAAAAAGACATGAATTCCCTTCTCATTTTCGTCATCAAAAAATAGGCCCAAAAAGGCAAAATTGAGTGAATTCTAAACCTGGATGATGATCATCATAACAGATTGTGGGAGGATAATATTCACTTTGATCTGCAACTCCCTTCCCAATGACGGAAGAAACTGTATTATCTGAATATGATAAGAAAATATTTGAAAGCCAAAAAAAGGGACAGCTACAAACTATTTCATAATTCAAGAAAGAAAAACATTTAAAGCACCCAAGAACAAAAAACTATAATCAAGTGTCATATTTTCAGAGAATTCAGCCCTTTATGCTAAAATTATGATTAAATTTTAAGTAGTTACAAATTCAAGCAAACATTTGAAAGAACATAATTTCCACGAAAGAATATAAATTCAGCAATTTTGACCACCTAAACTTCTACCAACATAGAATTAAGTGTCATACACCTATAAATGCACAAGAAAAAAGATACGATTATTAATCATTTTGTCCCCAGGCATTATCGATCTTCAAATAATTATGCTTATATCACCTGCAACAAGTAAAGGTAATAAAAGTTTTAAAGAACACGCCAAATTAAAACCAAAGCCTTGTCATTTAATATTTTATCTGACAAACAGAGAAATTAACACGAAAGCATATATATCAATTTAATACTCTCTCTGACTGCGTAAGTTTATCTCAGATTATTAATTTCAAACAGAAAATGAAGTTTAACTTTTAAATAACTCGATTTTATTTATTTATTTATTTTTTGTGGATGAAAACACAAGATTCTTTCAGCAGGGAAAAATGAAAAAGGAAAAGAGTTTTTTCAAGTTTGCATAACCATAAGCATATTAAAGAGATGAGCTTTTTCAAAAGTTTAGTTATTTCGTGTGAGAATTTTCATTAAATTGCATAAACATAAGCATATGAAAGAGATTAAAACCCCCCAATGTATTACTTTGGCTGGAAATTTATTCCAAAACATAAAATTAATCTTTCTTATGAATTTGGTAACATAAAATTAATGGGGAAAATATCTTTTTGTCTAATTGTCACCATAAGAAAAAGCCCCCTTGTAAGAGATGGGCAGCAGGGGTGGCCTCAGAAACGATAAGAATGACCAACGAAAGAGAGTCGTTCGGCTGGAACCTGACCTGGAAAGTGATCGGGGATGATGAACCGATGCGATACCGTCGAGGGAGGCGGAGGGGCAAAGAATTTTGGCCGGAAGACGGTGGTGGAGAGAAAGTTGGCGGTGGAGGGAGGGAAGAAAGGCGTGAGTATTGAGTGTGAAACAGAGTAGTAGTACAGGAAGAGTGTGTGAGGAAGAGGGGCCCTCTAAAGCTAAACCCCTGAATGATGATCTGACGTCTGATGTTTGCTTTGTGGAGTTAAGAGGGAACTTATTTGGACCGTTCGATTAGGATAATCCCTCTTTGCATGCCTTATATATATATTTTTAAAATTTTTGTCAGTATTCTACTTCTTTTATAAAAATAAAAAGTGTAAATTATACCAATTGTGTTTCGGGTATACTTTCAAAACTTATGTAATAATCCAAAGTTAA